GTGCCACGCTACTAGTAACAGGTGCATCGCTAGTAGTAACAAGAAGCTATAGAATTTAATTAGAATCAATTGTTGAGACGTTCACTTCTTGCACGGCAGCGGACGGATCCTGTGGCATTGCCTCTGGGCACCTTCGCCTACTACTGGCGTTCCAGTGAGCAAAAGCTTGAAGCCCGCTGGCGAGGACCAGCCTTGATGGTGGCAATCGAGCCACGTGCCTATGGTGTGCCCCTTCCATCGGTCTATTGGTTGACCCATGGAACTAGTTTGATTCGAGCTGCCGCAACTCATGTGAGAGCTGAGGTTGAGCAGGTTGCCCGATTGCAAACGCCCGACAGTGCATTGAGCACCTCTGTTCGAGCTCGAGTGCAACAAGCATTGACCCCTAGTAGCGTCCTTGCTCCTAGTAGCGATGCCCTTTGCTCCTAGTAGCGTCCTTGCTCCTAGTAGTGCAAGGTCTTCGATTTCTTGATGGGGGTACCTCTTCTCACGAAGCTGCACCCATCCAAACCGTGACAACCATCGAGAGCGCCACAGACGATATGAAAGAGAAGCCAGGTGAATGATACAGCGTCAGAAACAGCTGCAAGAACATCGGCCTACAAACGACAGCCACAGCAGGTTGGACGAAACGACATCGACAGCTGAAGCTAAAGCACAAACAACAACGGCAGCTGCAGAAAACAAACCACAAGATGAAAGGAAGTGGTCAAGAAGTCCGCCATAAAAAGATGAAAGAGCAAAAGCCTTTGAATCCTACAACCGACAGCTCGAGCACTTGATGGCATGCCGCCAATCGAGTGGAGTGACAGTCAATTCCATGCTCGAATGGATTCGGCAGAGGCTCAAGATGCTGCAGATGATGCCAATAGCTCTCGCTGAAGGCTTCAATGAACGACTCCTCACCCCTGAGGAGAAAAGGCACTTTGACGACACTAAGGGCCAAGCTTTGCAGGTCTGGTTCGACAATCAAGCATGGCGTCCTGTCCCTGAGAGTGAGGCCAAAGAGGGTGAAACCGTTCCCACCAGATTCCTTCAAAGATCGAAGCCAACAAAAGAAGGAAAGAAAGCAAACGCAAGAGTCATTTTGCAGGGCTTTCGTCACAAGGACGTCCTAGAGAAGAAGCTGGAAACGGAAAGTCCAACTCTTTCAATGACCGGAAGGCATGGCTTGTACATTTTTACTGTGCAAAAGCAATGGACACTTTTTCTCTGCAGATGTGAAGTCAGCCTTCATGCAGTCAGATTCCATTGATCAAAGCACTCGTATTTTTGTTCGCCCCAGTTCGGACATGCGAAGATGGTTGGAGAGGATGTGTGACCTCACTCAAAGCCACAAAACCGGCATTCGGTGATGCACGAGCACCTCGACGGCATGACACGGCAGACACCTATTTAGTGGAAGAGCTCGGATTTGTTCATCACCAGCTGGACAAGTGTGCTTATCTTTCTGTGCGTGAGGCAACGGAGGAGGACGAGCCTTTTGTTGTTTTGCATGGAAAGACAAGAGCATGATCGTTGACGGTGTTTTGAGACTCCATGTGGATGATTTCGTAGGCAGCGGTGAACATGTGCACAGCAAATCCGATTTCCTGGACAAAGAAGCTCCTGATGGTGAATACTTTTTGAGCAGAATTTCCAAGCTTGCAAAACGTTTCAGGTTTGGCTCCTGGGATTTCGGTGAAAGTGGTGCAATGTTGTTTTGTGGTGCAGAGGTGATTCAGAGATTGGATTACAAGACCATCACATTTTCGCTGGCATCATACATCCAAAAGGTGAAACCCATCACACTGGAGAAAGCACGAAAAACGATGATTGAAGATCCCTGTGATGAAAGAGAACACGAACAGTTGCGTGCCTTGATTGGAGCTTTGGCATGGCCGGCTAACCACTGCCTTCCGCAGTTGAGTGCTTCAGTCAGTCTTCTGCAAGCAGCGGCAAACAAGCCCGCCATCAAGCACATCAATGAAGCAAACAAGTTGCTGCGCTTTGCAAAGGAGATCTCCAAAGAGTACAAGCTGCGAATCAGAGCGCATGGTGACATGGTTTCCTTGCGAGTTGGTGCCTATTCGGATGCTTCTTGCTCGACCAGATGGTTCAAGCCAGGGAGGCATGATGATCTTTGTGTGCTCTCAGGAGGATCTGGACTCCGGAAAGCCAATGCCTCTCACCATGATCGCACGGCACTCAAAGAAGTTGACTCGCATTTGGAATGGTGCAAAATCTTTTTGACCTGTTTCACAGATCTGAGTATGCCCATTGAAGGAGACGAAGTGTGGCAACAGTTCAGCATTTCACCAGTCGCAACAATTGCCAAGAGTTTGTTTGATGCAACCCATTCCATCATCTCTGGCATGAAGATTTCTGAGAGGAGAACAGCGATTGAGGTTGCCATCATCAAACCACGTTTGCAGGCAACATGTGGTGAATTGTTTTGGGTGAACTCGCATCAACAACTTGCAGATGGTCTAACCAAGTGTGCTGGGAGAGATTCCATGGCCGTGATTTTGCATCGAGGAACCCATCGTCTTTCCTTCGACCCCAACTTCATTGCAGCCAAGAAGGTGACTCAGGCCGAAAGAGAGAGAGAGAGAGAAAGAAAGAAAGAAAGAAAGAAGGAAAGAAAGAAGAGCATGAATCGTGTGCAAGGATTCTGCAAGAGGAACACAATTTCTTTGTCACCAATGATGTGAACCCCAGTGACAAGTGTTTGTTGGCAGGTTGCAATCGTGAGAGAGACAAAACTGATAAGAATCGTGTTTGCAGCCGACGGCATTTTTACAAGCACAGCACAAAGTGACAGTCAACCACAAGATCCATGGCGAACCGCAGCCATGATCACAGTTTCCAAGTTGATGATTGAAGACATGCCCAAAGCCATGGCGGATGAGCTGGAAGGAAAGGATGAGAGCGGTTTTCCCGTCATGACCGCTTTCGCCGTGATTTTTCTTTTTGCTCTTTTTGGAATTGAACAGATGCTTGAGAAGTTGTTTTCGTTGAAAGATCGCTTGTGGACAGTGAACCACGAGCCTGAGCCGGAGGCAGCCAGTGAGAATGACCTCTTAGGATCCAGCCATGTCGCCGATGCAAAGCCCCAGACTCTACAGAATGACCAGGTCCTAAGGAATGTCCTCATGTTGAAAACACCACGTCAACCCGGACTGAACGTGGGAAGTTCAACTGTGAACACAGATTCCAATGTGCCTGATTTTGAGTGGCAGAGATGGAGTCGCTTGAAGATGGAGGTCCAGAACGAATGTGCTCAACAAGGCTGGAGAAAATGGTGTAAAGAGCTCGAAACCGGAGATGGTGACATGGACGCATCCACAAGGTCCGTGCTTACCTCAGAGAGCTTCACAACAAATCGGTGGAGAACATTAACTGAACTTTTTCAGCTGGGAACAACAGAAGAGTTTACAAACGACCAGATCAAACAGTGGCATCGCATGTGGAACGACAACCTAATGTTCCTTGGAACAAGACCATCAACAAACAACGAAGGGAACTAGAACTGCTGCAAGGGATTGAAAAGATCAGTTAACAATACCAGAGAGGCGTGCTTCGTGATTGCATGTCTCAAACACCTGTGACCTACAATCACAGTGTGCAGCCGCTCCGTGCCCGCTCACTGCCCGCGAACCAGAATGGTGCGTGGACTCAGATGAACGAGTTTGAAAACCGTTCATGAACGCAAGGGTCAAATTTTGTATTTTCTCCATCCACCGGTTGCCAACCAATTTAGAGCTTTTCACCGGTGTTGATTGGCGCATGCAAATCATTGCATTTCTTTCAGTTCATGAAGCCAGGAAGTGACAGGTGCCCTTGAGCGTACCCCGGCCGCGACACCTTCGAAATTGCATTCTTCGTTTTGCACTTCGTTTCTACTTGGAAGACTTTGTGAGCTTTGTCAAGTTGATACCTCAAGAATAAGTCCGACACGCGCCCAACAACTCCCAAAATCATGCTCCCGACACTATCGTTGCGATACACTCCAAAAAAAATCCAATAACGAGCCCGATCCACCCCAACACCTCCAAAAACCATTGTGCGTGGCTTCTTGACACCACCAAAACGCACCCCTCATGCCTTCCCGGTGTAAGATGGCAACCCCCAAAAAACCAAAACCTCCCAGAAAAATCTGCCCACACAGGCCCACAGCCTGTCAAGACTCCCCACACCCCAATCTCAACATTGTTCGTGGCGCCTTCACTGGTCGTGAGGCTTTCCAATCCGTCCCCAAAAATTCTCAAATCCGCTGGAAACAATCACTGGTTTTCTGAGTTGTTGAAGGTCCACAAGCCACATGAAGCCACAAGAGCTGAAAGGTTTCAATGTGATCATTAATCGACATCGTCAAGAACTTGAAAGGCAAACACGTTATGAAATCTGAGACAAGACTTGATTAGAACTAAAACAATGAAATTGAGTCAGTCGGATTCAGCGTTTGGGTTCTGAGCTGCTGGCATAACAGAGGTCGAGCCTTCAGTAATGGTCCGCATCAGCACCCGTGATACAAGACCTCGGCATAAATCGGCTTGTGGGGTGCACGAAGAAGCTCCTAGTAGCGTTCTTCTTCCTAGTAGCGATGCCCTTTGCTCCTAGTAGCGTCCTTTGTTCACTTCTTCCCTCTCTCTTTCTTCCTAATTGCATCTAATTGCGATGGGCTCCAGCCTCCACCCTAGTATATAGTGATGGCCTCCACCCTAGTAGCGATGGCCTCCCTGCTAATAGCGATGGCCTCCATTCTAGTAGCGATGGCCACAGTAGCGGCGGCCTCCCTGCCAATCACGATGGCCTCGACCCTAGTAGCGATGGCCTCCATTCTAGTAGGGATGGCCTCCCTGCTA